CCCCAAAACCCCAAAACCCCAAAACCCCTTGAGACTCTTTGATTTAAAAGAGAGATTATCATTATGAAAAATAAAATGATGTTTAAAATAACCTCATAAAAATCAAAGAACAAACTGACCCCAAATAAAATGGAGCGACCGCACAGCCAGTTCTTAAATTCTGTAATTTCAAGCAGCCATCAAAGTGATACTTTAAGCCCATCAAATAAGAGGAGCTTTGTGCATTAGTTTTAAGATAAATTTGGTGTAGCCTCAATTGGGGCTCTATAAGAGTCTGAGATCATGAAATCGATTCCAAGTCCAAAGGTACATCAATCTAACTCAGCTCAGAAAAATCCACCCACTTAGAAACCAGAAATCAAAGTAAGGCCACAGACTGCAATCATGCAAAAACGCTAAAACTCAATGAGAGAAATAGGAAGTCAAGTAATTCAATACATTTAAATATATATAACTACTTTTAGTCTTAAGTGGACAAGATAATGTCTACAAAAACTTCACAAAAGGACAGTCAAAAGGACCATTATCTGACAATTAACTCGAATCAAGAATCGTACCCTCAGAAATACTACTCTAAGAATCCCAAAGAGTGGAAAACAATGCACAGATTATGCAAAAAGCCGCATCTTCCTTTCTCACAGGAGCATTAGGGGTATTAAGAACCAGTTGAAGAGGAAAAGAGTTTCTTTAGTAAAATGATGGAAGCTGAATAAAAACAAATAAAGGATCGGGTGTAATCTGCTTACTCTCGCAAGTCACTCAATACTTAATCAAGTGCGAATAGACACAAGGAAGCCAAGATACCTATTGTGCTTAAAAGCAACTAAGAATCTAATGAGACTCATATCAAGTCAGAGAGTGATGATAATACATTGTCGATTAAGTCAACACTAACACTAAGATAGAACGAGTTAAAAATAATAAGGCATTTTAAGATAGATTATGGGGTGTATCAGTCACTGAAGAATGATGAAGAGAGACGAAAATTTTTGTTAAATAAGATGGAGGAAGATATCAAAGAAAATTTAAATTAACTAGACCATAATATGCAGCATAAGTTGTAAAATTATGAATAAAGCCAAAAAGAGATTATGGAATAGACGGTGTAACCGAAGGATACCTATCCTTGGCTTGAAGTTAAAACTAGAAATAAAGAGCTGTAACCTAGACTTAAGCAGAAATTAATGGAAACTTATTAGACTTTGGTAACTCTTTTAAATATTTATAATTCTTTTTGTAGTAAGTTCACGGAGAGTTAAACAAACGAAATAGCTCCAAAACAGATCATCAAGACACTTAGCACAATGGATTATAAAAATCAATCTTGAATCAGTACTAGATCTTAAAGCCTACTTATGCTGAACATGAATTATTTGCAGCGATGGTGGACTCTATTAAGTTTATCGTTCCACCACCTCCAAATCCTCCAAAACCCAAGAAATTAAAGAGGTCTATTCTTGAACCAAAACATCTTAAAAATGCTAAATCTGAGAAGGATCTAAAAATGCCTGATAATATTACTTCCTAGATAAGCAAGCAGATTTTGATTAGTGGTGCAAATTTAAGCATGGCTCTGAATAAAACTTTCAAGGATTTTATCAAAGTTTATATGGATTTACATGATGAATAGCAAACTAAGCTAAACCCTGAAAAAAGTGGAAGATTCCTAAATAACAGATTAGTTTCTATGGTAATTTTTTAAGATAATATTTATGTTTAGAAAGCTTAAAGAATTGCTTAAAATACTTTAGCAAAGACTTAATCATAACCGAATATCCCCATAGTTAAGAATTAAATGCTTTGGGGTGATGAATAATAAAAGTAGTATCAAGACTACAGAAAATAGATGAAATAGCATCTTAACAGAGACACTAATTTAGAAGCATGGGATAGAGTAATGCAAGGTGCATTTAATAAGGTATTTCATAACTATGGGTTGAAGTATTAAAATGTTGAAGTTGTTTAAAACATGAAGCATATGAACTTTGATCAGATTAATCAGGTAATAATACATAAATAATATTATTGCAATTATAGTTTTTGTCTACTTTACAAACGTTAAATGACTGCAGTGATAAGCAAGCATTTAAGCATGAAGTATAGCATATAGATCAAGAGGTCCTTCATAAAATTGAGACAGATTTAGCAGAGAAGATAATTGAAGAATATGAAATCTAGAAGGAAGATATAAAAAAGGCAAGATACAAGTACTTAAGAGATAAAAATGCTGAACAAAAAGAGAAAATATAGCAGCATAGTCTCGAGTAATCACTTTTTATTAATAAAAGTATAGTGCCTAAAAGTAAAAGGAGAAGCAAGAGAGGATCAGGGAAAATCTAAGATTCGTCAAGAGAATTAAAATAATCCTGAATGGAGTAGAAAAAAAATTGATTGATATAAAGGAAAAGAAGCAAACTGTTCATGACTAGTTGTATAAAGATAGACAAAATTGGGCAAAAAAACTTAAAAAACCTTAAAGTCTTGCCCTCGATTAAAAATCAAATGGCTTCAGAGCGAATGAAGCAGCAATGAATCAAATGGTATTCTCATTTTTCTAGAATGAAAATGGATTAATCAAACCTTTGAAATTCAATCCAGATCAGCCAGAGGAATACTTTCACTAAAAATACACAGGTGGACCAGATGCATTGGACAATCTTATCATTAAGAATAATAGTCAGAATATGCTTGATGCTAAATCTACTTTTTACATGTTAGGAGCCCTATAAAATGCGGCTCGATCTATATAAAAAGCCTACAGAAGATATAAATCGAAAAAGGAATATTTAAAGTAAAGAGAGTTAGATGGGTAACATCGTGGTTTGGTAAAAAATAATAAGAAAAAACTTAAAATGGAGGAGGCTAGAGCTATTTAGTTGAATAATCAAAAGAATATGGATGAAATGGTAAACTCTTAGTTAGAGGCTAATGCTAAGAGATAAAGTGAGATCTATGGAGTTAGAAATTTCTTAATGACTGAAAGAGAAAAGAGGTAGAATCAGCTAAAATTTTATGCAAAGAAAAAGTTTGATGATATAGATGAATAGGATGAGAGAAAAGACGATGGGGATTCAAAGAGTCGATCTAATAGTGAATCAAGTTCATCCAGCTAGTCTTCAAAGGAAATAAATCCTAAGATAATTTCAAAGAGATCAAGTAATAAAGCATCTAACAGTAATAAAACTGAAACAGAAATAGAATCTGAATAAACTCTAACGGATGAGAGTGATACTGACAGTAATTAGTCTGAAACAACAGGTACTGAACGAAGTGTTAAAATCAAAAAGTAACCCACAATTAAGAAAAAGAAAAGAAAAGTTGATATCAACTTTGAGTTTAAATCATTTAGTTTTTTGTAAGTCATATATTCAAGCTAATATATTTAATAGTATAAAACCTCAACCGAAAGTAGTATATATGCAAAGTGGAGGATAGGAAAAGATCTTTGAAAATCTTAATGTAAACCAAAATGAAAAGCTGTAATTCAATCCAACTCTAGAGCCTAATCATAAAAAGAGATTCAAAAAGCATAATCTTACAGCCAGATAAGAAAATGTTATTAAATGTGCTAAAATCAATAATGTCACCTATGTATGACTCTTTCAATATTAAATACTTGAATTAGATTATGAAGAACCGAGACATTCTTACTCAAAATGATTTAAATGCAAGAGATGAAAATAATAATACAGCATTATACTATGCAGTATCCAATTCTTACTTTGAGGTTACAAAGGTACTATTAGACTTAGGTGCTAGTGTGAATCTTAAAAATTCTTTGGGAAATACATGCTTGCACAAAGCATTTATGTCTAAGAATATGCTGATTATTAACTTGCTTTTGAGTAAAGATGCGGATTTAACCATATTAAATGATTTCTAGCAGTCTCCATTGTACTTTGGAACAGCTTAAATGATTAATGAACTTGGATTGAGCAAATATGTGACACATTATCTGAATTATAAGGACTTTGAGGTAAATTTCGTTGAGATTGATGAAGTCAAGAAAGACATAGACAAATAAGATGTAGTTAACAAAAGAATGGCACATAGAATTAAGTATACTTGAATTTATTTTAATTGATTTACTGATTAAATATCTCAATTGGCTAAATGGGGTTTTGGGGTTTTGGGGTTTTGGGGTTAGGATAATAAGGATAATTTAATTTGATGTACT